AAAAAAAAAGGAAATAAAAACCTCAAGTAGCATGCACAGAGGATAGAAGAAGAACAAGTTCTTCAACAGAAAAGAACTGACAAAAGAAACAGAGAAGGAACCGCAACAGTGACACGGGACCATGTTGGGAGAGCCAGCACATATGGGGGAAAAGAGCTTCAAGAAGAAAGGAGCAGTTAATTATACAAAGTATCCTAAAGAGCACAATGAAAAGGAGGATGGAGAAATGCTTTGAATTTTTCAAGACATAATTAGTGTGAGTAAATTTACAAGGCACAGAAACCAAAGGGCTGAGATTTAAGGAGAAAATGGCTGTCAAGAAGATAGGTATTGCAGGAGTTCAAGACATTACATGGAAAGAAATAGATTGGACAGTAGTTGGAAAGATTAGAGGGAAAATAAGTTTGTCCTTTAAGGAGGGACAGGAGGACTGATTCAGCTTATGAGGCGAGGAGTCCATGAGAGTAAGAGGAACCGGAAACAGTCTGGAGGTGGGTGGGTGAGACATAAGAGCGTCAGCTTTGGGTTCAGACAAAATGGGTTTGGATCTTGCCTCTGCTACTGACCAGCAGGGTGACCGTGGGCACGTTGCTTTACCTTCTGTGCCTCAGACTTTTTCTTAGTAAAGTAGCAGTTCCTATAAGACTTTGGTGAAAATTAAATTAGGTATTACTTATAAAGCACTATTCTAATGCCTGGTACACAGTAATACAATAAATATCTGTTTTAACTAGTTACTTCTGGATTGTTAATAAATAATATACAAGAGATAGAAAAAAATGTGAGAAACAGTTTTTTGTTTGTTTATAGCACATAGGAAGGACTGGGATCTAGAGCAAAGTTAGCACCTTTAACTACCCTTCTTCTCAGTTTCCATTGTCACTGTCTTTGTTCAGTGATCACATACTTTCTTATACTTTCTCCTGTGATCACAATAGCTGTTAACATCCTGAATTACTTTGCCCACAAATTTCTTAAATCCAATTCAGTTTCCACACTCTTCCCAGTAAAAGTTCTAAAATACAGATCCAGTCACGTTTGGACATTCTCGCTTTTAATGTCCTTAAAATATCCAGACTCTAGGACACTGCATAGGAGGTGGGGCATTCCACGCCCACATCTTTCTTGGAGTTCCTCTTTGTAGTCTAGGAAGCAAAATCATTTCAAACCTACTCCACTTTCCAAGCCCCAGGTCTTTGCCATTCTCTGTCTGCTTGCCTGAGGATACTTCCCCACCCACTTTCTTTTCTTGTCTTCCAGTTCATCTATGAAAAGTCTACAGTGGAAACACCAATCATATCCTTCTGATGAGCTTGCCACCTGTGTGTCCAGCTCAGGGTCCTTTTCTCTGGATATCTCCAGCATCCAGCACAAGGCCACCCAAAGTGTGTGCTTGCACATGTGGGGTGAAGAAAAGTACAGATAAATATGAGAGATGTGTTTGACAGAAGATGGAAAATTTGAACTAGATGGTGAGATTTCCTGTATATTATGATTACCTTTTTGTATAACGTAAACATAAGAATGGAAAAAAGTACATTGGTAGGGTAATTTTTGAAGCGGAGTGTCTTGATATTTTATACTAAGTGTACATTTTGACTCAAAACTATCTACAGGAGGGGTGCCCAGGTGGCTCAGTTGGTTAAGTGTCCAACTCTTGATTTCAGCTTGGTTCATGAGCTCATGGTTTGTGAGTTCGAGCCCTGCATCGGATTCTGTGCTGACGGTGCAGAGCCTGCTTGGGGTTCTCTCTCTCTCTCTCTCTCTCTCTCTCTCTCTCTCTCCCTTTCTCTCAGCCCTTCCCCCACTCACTTTCTCCACCCCCCCTTCAAAATAAACAAATAAACTTTAAAAAATATGTCTACAGGACATTATATATAGTATATTCTAAAACCAAAAAAAGCTTCTTTTTACCCAGTAAGCACATGCCCTGTGGTTTCTAATATATATTTCTCAGCTTCTGTGTGATAGCAGTATTTAGTTTCATTTACATTAGCTATACAATTTTATCATCAATATAGTTTGTACACTTAAAAAAAATAATTCCTAGGTAAAACTAAGTTAAATCTGAAACAAACCATCACACAATTTTGTGAAGTATTCTTATTTATAGGTTATGTTTTATTTAATATTTTTTTAAGTTTATTTATTTTTTGAGAGACAGAGCATGAATGGGGGAGGGTCAGAGAGAGGGAGACACAGAATCTGAAACAGGCTCCAGGCTCTGAGCTGTCAGCACAGAGCCTGACGCGGGGCTTGAACTCACAGACCGCGAGATCATGACCTGAGCCGAAGTCGGCCGCTTAACCGACTGAGCCACCCAGGAGCCCCTAAGTTTATTTATTTATTTTTTGAGAGACAGAGAGAGACAGAGCATGAGCAGGGGAGGGGCAGAGAGAGACAGGGAGTCACAGAATCCGAAGCAGGATCCAGGCTCTGAGCTAGCAGCAGAGCCCGACTTGGGGCTCGAACTTGTGAACCGCGAGATCATGACCCAAGCCAAAGTCGGATGCTTAACTGACTGAGCCACCCAGGTGCCCCTTATTTAGTAATTATGAACAAAGTTCTGTTTAAATGAAAACAGATAAAATGCAAAATTCAATAACAGTCAAATTAAAAGGGGTGGCTTTTCTCAGTACTACGTACTAGCTTTGTGACCTTGAATAAGTTACTTCACTCTCTGAATCTCAGCTTCTTCATCCGTTAAATAAGGATGAAATAATACCTACTTCATAAGGTTGTTGTAAAGACTAAACTGAGTTAAATAAATTCAGGTAAAGTGCTCAGGCCAGTGACTCACACATAGCAAATGCTGTGAAAATGCCTTTTTCTCGAAGCACTACACACACACACACACACACACACACACACGC